TTTTTTTTTTGGGGGGGGGGGGGAGGTTATTTTAACAGAACTCATATTTGGAGGTTCATTTTTTTGCACTTTTTATTTTTATTTGTTGTCTATTTTTTAAAGGAATAGTGAGAGCGCCCAGATTGTCATACCCTTCTCGCATTGCAAGCATTGGCCACTCATCACATTCCCTTCAAACTTGCATGGCGGATCTATTTTTTGTTTATGTCAAGTATCTGGTGCAATTTTTTATCATGTAATTTTTATTATTTTTTGTCTATTCTAGTGTTTTTTGGTGTTATATTTTCTAGAATCTGCAGGAACTTTCCTAATATTTCTAGTTAAAATTTTCTTTTTCACAATTTTCATTACATTTGACAATCATAGTTTATTAAATATTTGAATACGGGCAAATGTTCGCACTTTGGATAAACTTAAAAGCTCAAAACTGCTCAAGAATATATCTAAGTGTCCATTTTCGTCATTTTCTCCAAATGGTGCCAATTACGTACGTACTTGATTGAGTCTCACATCCATAGACTGAAGTATAGTTTCTCTTCATGCTAAACTAAAGAATGTTTAACAGTGGATTCCCAGAAGGTGTTGATCTCGAAGCCACTTTGAGCAAATGTTGATGGGAAAGACAATTAGGGGCTTCTATTTGACATATTGCAGTTTTTACTTTTTACACTCGAGACTACGTATAGTTACATAATACGTTATATATTTTGCTTGAAGGACACTTCCTGTAAGTAAATGAAGTAAGTTAAAACTAAAACGACATTGTTCTACTATAATTTATTAAATGCTATCGAATACACCGTTTAATGGGAAAATCTACACGCACTATTTGAAACTAAAAAAGGAAAAAAAAATAAAATTAAGAAGCAAGTCGTTGAACTGATCACATGTAGGACAAAGCTACAACATTTCTCAAATAATAAAATTAATTTATAACTCATAGTACATTATATATGACAATTACAATAGAAAATTCCACGAGAATATTATAGAAGAGGATGAGTGATTTGATTTAGCCTCATTTCTTATCTTCAGAGTTGAGCTAAGCGCTGAATATCAAAAGGATAAGAATCTGATGGTCTTTCAGCTCTGTATGATCTCCTCCCAACAATTACATTTGCAGCTTCACCTGGATGGAATGCATCCCAGAATAGATATTCATCTCTATTTGGGCATGGATTTTGTAGAGGAAGGCATGTTATTTGCCCATTGTTCCTTCCTACTCCACAACATCCAGCATTTGTCACTCTAAATCCTGAAAAAATAATTAAAAGTCAAATGTCTTAGCTGATTTCCCAAAAAAATTAAAAAATTGATGCCTAATAATTAGGTAACATTTATGTACGAAAAGTTTTTATTTAGTCAAAATCTCATGAGGCATAGGTTGTTTTAACGTACACGAAATGTGTAATCATTTCATCTAAAAGCTTAAGTTGTATGAGAGAATTCACTTTTATTTATTTAATTATGTCCTCAACATACACACATAATTATTGAGAAGAAGAAATCATTACCAAATGCTGAGGGATTGTCAATTAAATCTTGGAAGATGTCATAAGCATTAATGTAGATGAATTTTGCATCTGGTGTATTGCTGTTGAAATCATCCACAATACCCCTTAGCCTACTGTTGAATAGCTGGTTTGCAACATTTATATTTTGTGCACAGGTTTTGCCATCAGGACTGTTTTGTGCCAGAGAATTTGGGCTACAACCAATTTGCCCCACTCCAATTAAGACAAACTTCCTTGCTCCATAGTCATACAAAGTCTGAAGCAATACACAAATACGCGAAAGCACAATTAGAGTTGACTTGTGTGGATGGTGTGAGTTAATTTGTCGAAAATAAATAAAGAATTAACTTAAATAGGTAAACTTACCTTCAATTGTTGAGTGTACTGTTGAATAAGAACATCAGCATATTGCTCAGGATTGAATTGTCTGCTAGTGGAGTAATAAAGGGGCATGAAATAATTATTGAGATAATCGTTGCTGCCCAGTCCAACTGAGTATATGCACTTGCTCAAATAATTTGCAGCTGAAGCTTCATCTCCTAGTATTTGCACCACTTGTTGCACTGTATTCCTGTAATTATTTACCTGCGCAGCAAAGCTAATCCTCGCTCCCTATAAAGATTATGTAAACAGAACTTCAGAAATGTGAAAATAAGAAAAGATAAATGTCTTATCAATGTATAAAAACCCAAGAAAATCAAAGGAAATGAAGAATTACCAATTGCTGGCCAGTTTCTTCTCTAATTCCAGCAGCTGCAGATGCATAATTGACCCCTCTGAGTATGTCTTCACCCCTTGCAGCTGCATAGGGTGGAATATAATCCTCGAACCCCAAAAGCTCAGCTGTAAAGTTAAATACAATGTTTATATAGTAAGAATATTTGGTTTATTCTGTAAAAGTTAAAGAAAGAAACAAATTGTGGAAAGGAAAGCTGAGGCTTTTATGT